ATGTAACTGATAATTAAATAGAGAAATTGACAGTTTAAAATATAAAGTGGGGGGATGCTGTTTCTTGATACATGTTTAGAAATATAACAAATCTTAAAATCACTTCTTAAAATGTTAGTCTTTTTAAATTTTTCTTTAAAGACATCACTATCTTGAAAATATGTATCTGACTTTAATGAAATTTTTAGGGTTTAGGTTTGAATTGTGGTTTAAAAAAATAATGACACATTAAAAGTGAGTTGGTGAAAGGCATTGATTTCGATGAAGTCATTCACCAGTTCACAGCTTTGAAGGCCAGGAAAGGAAAGTTCTGATTTAGTTGAGATGTTTGCTAAGTTCTGAAATGCTTATGTGTTTGTTCCTGTTTATTTTCCTGGTGTTATTTCATTAATGAATCTATTTCCATATGCATTTGTCTACAACTTATACATTATTTGGGCCGTAATTAAGTATGGAAACCTAATCCATTAATGTATCTCATGTAATAGTAAAGTTTAATGTTAAAATAAACGTGATTTTGATGTAGTTCTTAAATGTTTTTACTTCGAAATGAATTGTTATCTTACTGAATTTTCACTTTAACCACATGAAACTAAATGTAAACACATTTAGACTGTGCATATGATTGTAATTTAAAGGTGTAATTTTAATTTTGCTATTTGTTTATGTCAACTACTGTTGCCATTACATTCAGTGATATATGGGAATTATGGTTTACGAGTAACATTAGTACAAAAAACTTTACTAAGGATTCTGTATGGTCTGGTATGGGGTAAGGTGACACTGTGAGTTACTGTTCTGGGTGACGCTAACCCTACTTACGCCACTACCACAGACTCAGCTAAACACATGGGCGTAGCTGTGATCCAATACAATTTTACAAGTAGTCCCCAACTTAGCATATTTGAGTTACTATGACCCACACTTATGACCATCTTATTTGTTTTTTTGGTACATCTCATCATTAGTAATATGTACTACATACAGTGTTGCAGCATGTAATTTGCTGATGTTGTCGTTCTCAAATATTCACTTGCAGATGTTCAAAGATGGGATTTATAAAGATGCTGATAATAAAAGGCAGTAATAATGAAAACTAAAAAAGCCATATTCGACTTACATCAGAACTAACTTAACAATGGAGTCGCCAGAAGGGAATCCGTCATAAATCAGGGACTACCTGTCCTTACAAAAAGAGGCAGAGGGCCAGACTGTGCCTGTGAGCGATAGTTTGCTGACTCCTGATATGTCATGGAGCTTTTGCATGCCTTTTATTTAATCTTAGTTCAGAAGTCAGCAGGCTCTAGTTAACTACAGCCTAGGAAGAACACAGGGGCTCTGATGATGCAGTGGTTAAGAGCTTGGCTGCTAACCAAAAGGTCGGCAGTTTGAATCCACCAGCCGCTCCTTGAAAACCCTATGAGGTAGTTCTCCCTGTTCAGTAGGGTTGCTATGAATCCGAATCTTCTCCACGGCAACAGGTTTAGAAGAGCACAAAGAGAAAGGTTTTGAACCTAGATAATTGGTTGTTTCCAGCTGGGAGAGGTGTGTTTGAGAGAGACAATTCCACCTCCATTCCAGCGGCCCTGGGGTTGGCCATTCCTAGCCACAGAGGGGCAAGGCCAGTCCTGTATGAGGAACAGACTCAGAAGATGAGCAGTTTCTTTTGGGAGCCTTTGGTGTGTCACTTGAAACATGATGACTCCTGCCAACCTTGGAGCAGCCCTGCCTGTACAGGTAGCCCGAAAGACCTTGTCCCCACCTTGGTGGAGCCTGTTTCTCATATCCCTTTCAAACATCAGCCGTACTTTTCAGTATGCAAGCCTGTGGTTTACTTGAAAAGTAAAATAAGACTAATGACACAGTACTGTTTAATATGTACTCTGGGATTTTACAAGGAAATTTTTAATGGTGGAATTCCATGATAGTTCAGCATCATGGTCCAGGCTCCTTCCTGCCTCTCTGCTTTTGTTCATGGTGACGCTTTTCAACCTTGACATAGCTTACCCATTGTCCCAGGCTGATTCCAAGCCCACTTCTTGCTCTGTGAGCCTCCTACCTCTCTGTGGTTTCCGCTTCTCTGGGCAGCTACTTAAAGACTCTTAGAGCCCTTTGATATAATATCCAGTTATGTGTTCTTACAGTATTTGTTAGTTTTAGTGATGTTGCTTATTTCCCCAGCTATAGTGCTGGGACTCCTTGAGGACAAGACTGTCTGGCACCAGGGACACAAAGTGGTATAAGAAGAGTTAGAAGCTCTGGCCTTATGAGTGTATTGTCACCAAGGGTTCGCCTTTGAAAGCTTTGTGGCCTTAGTTCAATGTTGATTCTTTCTAAGGTTGTTTCCTCGTTTGTAAAATGAGGATTAAAGGAAAATCATCCAGGTGTGTGCCCTCTTCCATTGATGTCCACGCCCTGAGCGTCTTCACCAGGAAGTGAGAGTGAGCAGTCCTGTAAGTTACTGACAGCCTAGGTTCTCCAGTCCGATTGTATACTGG